GGATGCCGGAATGAGACCCGCGGCAGGTGGGCGCAGAGTCCAGTCCAATAAAATGCTAAATGTTCATCTTTGGAGCCCGGCTTTAAACATATCTCGTATGTGTGGCGGTTACGCTCGTTACGAGCCAACTGCGCTTTTCTAAAAGATTATTTACTCTAACGAGCCGTTCCATAAATCCCTCTGAAGAGCTATAATCCGCGGCTCTTCCATTTTATATACAGTAGACATAAACATTTATGACCTATGGGAAGAGGATTACCCCGGGGCTGAGCCGTGTGTTTGCAGCCAGTGTACACACTGCTGATCCGAGACATTAATAACTCGAGGAAGAGAGATAACTGACACTCACAAATTATCTATAAACTCCGCGTACTGTAAACGGGGGAAAATCCTTCGCTCCATCCGCCTCGTTTATCTCCCTCCCTTCTTAACCTCGTCTGCCGCTGGAGCAAAGCCGGGAGAGGAGCCGACCTTATCTCCAGAACCCTCCTTGAGCCGTGGCTCTGCTACGAAGCAGGATAACCATACTGTCAGGTACCTGCCCGCGGGAGACGCCGAGTCCCTCGGCGGGGACACAGACAGAAAAGACGTCCACCGGCACTTCCCGGCCGCGCAGGCGCAGATGCTAGACGGCCCGGCGGGTCACGTCCCGCACGGCGCAGTGACGTCATCACGCCGGCGCATGCGCAGTGGCACGTCCTCGGTCTATATAAAGCGCCGCAGGACGTCCATTCAGTGCTGGGTGATCTTCAGCCGGCACTGGAGGATCCTGCTGTGCTCTTAGGCCAGTTTCCATTGTCCCGTTTGCCTAGCCTTGCTCCTGCTCTTTCCCTGGTTTGATTTCTGTCTCCAGTGCCTTCCTATTACTTGATCCGGCTTGTCTCCAGACCCTTCTCTTATTAACCCTTTGGACTCTGCTGCCCGCACGTTGTTGATCCGGCTTGACTCCAGACCCTTCTCTGATTAACCCTTTGGACTCTTCTGCCCGCACGTTGTTGATCCGGCTTGACTCTTACTCTCCCTTTTGCTGAAACCTTCAAGCACGACGGCTATTCTGCCAGGTCACCAAGTAGACCTCGTGACCTCAAGATCCGCATCCGGCACTCGTGCATCCCCTGCCTGAACCTACTGTTCTCAACCCCAGTGGTCATCAGACGGGGTTGCAAGGGAGGTCCTCCTCGTCACTTCGGGCTCACACCACGATCCTAACACATACAGGTTATGGCGGGGCTCAAAGTTTCAGGTCCTGCGCTGCTAGCCAGGCCTTCAAACTTACTCGCCACCAGTTACCCTGCCCTGGAATGATAGAACACCGGGACAGGAAGGGGGCGTAACACTCTGGGCTTCAAGGGGTTAATAAGCGGGAAGGCCCCCTGCATGGTCCTGTACAGTTCCGGAAATGGCTGACATGCTTAGATTTAGCTCTAATAACAGCCTAATGACACGGACAGAACCAGCCCAGCACACCTGCTACGTCCCACCACAGCCACCCGGCGCTGTACCGCCTCCACTACTCATCTACTTCATCGATCACAAAGAGCGCAGGACCAAACAGCCAATCACCGCCCGCCTTTTATAAGATGGCCGAGTCAGCGTCGTGAGTGAATGGTGCGGGGGGAAAAGGAGTGTTCTGATTGGCGACTGGAGTGAAAGGGAAAGCTATGATTGGCTACGGGAGTAGCTCTGGTGTGCGTGGTGTGGGACCTAAATACGGAAGTGGTTATGAGCGCTGCCATGGAAACCATTGGAGAGAATTCAGCATGGTGAGTTCATTCGAACAACGGACCTTAGTAAAGATGGCTGCCGTCATGCGGCCATCTTTAACATGGGAAGGTGCACGGCTGTGAGAGGCAGCATACGGGTAAGCCATCTGGGATCCCTCCAGGTGCTGGGTACTCGGTCCATGACCGAATGCTTGACTCAATGGCTTCATTTCCACTCGCCCCCACGCAATTTTCACTCGCAAATTGCAAGGGGGTGAGAGGAAATTTTGAGCCCTGGGCTATGATGAGAAGGGACTACATGAATCAAAGAGCTCTCCAACCAGAGCACGGTAAACCCTTCATAGGACAGAAGATATTCACATGTTTCATGTCTCAGGCCATGTAAATCGTTCCTTTACACCCCATCACCCAGATGGCCACCCAGAACCGCTGGTGTATAGTGCTTATAAAGCCTAATGTTATAGAGCCATTTATTCCAAACTGTATACAGCTGTTTCAGGCTATTTGGCCATCATCAGTGCAGTGTGTGGAAACCACGGCGTCTATGGAGAAGGACAAAGAACCCAACAAGACAGTATAACCAAAGTCCCATTAAGGAAGCCAGGCGGCGTGTAAGGACTCGCCACCCGGCTTCCCTATTAGCAAAGGAAGCCGTCTCCATGCTCCCTCATCACCAGGTGACGAGGAAGCATGGGGTTGGCTTTCTGGCCAATCAGGAATCCGTGCGCCGTGTAATGAGTCCTTGCCCGGCTTTCTGATTGGTCGAGAAGCTGGCCAATCGTGAAGCCAGGCAACGAGTCATTACATGGCGCCCGGCTTCCTGATTGACCGGGAAGCTGGTTCCATGGACGAGAGAGCATGAAGCTGGGCTTCTGGCCAATCAGAAAGCCGGAGGGGCGGGTAATGACTCGCCGTCTGGCTTTCTGGTTGGCCAGCTTACTGACCAATCAGGAAGCTAGGCGGCGAGCCATTACACGCTGCCTTGCTTTCTGATTGGCCGGGAAGCTGGGCAAAGAGTCATTACATGGCGCCCGGCTTCCTGATTGGCGTGGAAGCCGGCTCCATTGACGAGGGAGCATGAAGCAGGCTTCCTGGTCAATCAGAAAGCCGGGGGGGGGGAGGTAATGACTCGCCCTTCGGTTTCCTGATTGGTGTATTGGTCAGGAAGCTGGCCAATCAGGAAGCTAGGCGGCGGGTCATTACAACTGCCCGGCTTCCTGATTGGCTGGTAAGCCGGCTCCAGTGATGAGGGAGCATGGATCCGGCTTCCCGGCCAATCAGGAAGCCGTGCAGCGTGTAATGACTAGCTGCCCGGCTTCCTGATACCGGAAGCTTAGGTTTTCGGGCTAGGCATCGGAGCATTTGGGAGAGTCCGAGAACTCACCAAAATAGTCGACATCGGTACCGATTCTAGTATCCTAGTCCTCGTGAGAAGGCATTAAAGGTATCAAACAAAAATATTTCTGTTGTATGTTGTGACACGTCAGGAATGTATTCACACACCGCTTGTAAAGTTACTGGAAGGTCCAATGTAAATCCGGTCACAATCGGGACTTTTCTTCTGAATCGGGTCGGATGTGAATCTTATTTTTGATGTATCGTCACTCTTAAAAATGTCGCCTGTGTTTCAGATTCTGTTGAAGCTGAAGAACATTGCGCTGGATGCCGAGTGCGAGCTGGAGCGCCAGGACGAAGCGCTCGATGAGATCACGTCTTCCGTGGACAACTCGGTTTTCAGCATCAACCAACAGACTCGCAGGATGAGAAAGCTGCTGTAGAGTCTGAGCGGCATGAGAACTCGCAATACAGACTGGAAGGAAAGGATTGTCTGTATGGCCTGCTGCAACCTACCACAACCAGGCGTCCTATCCTCAACGTAGCTTATAAAGGGCGCTATGGTGGGCTCGGCGGGGGCCACTTCTCCTTTCTTGCAGTTTTTTGGGAGCCCTTCCATTTCCATAAGCTGTTTGCAAATGATAGCATGACACTACCAATGTTTACACGCACAGATAATGCAAAACTCCCCCCTCTTACGTATACAGTGTGGCAGGATGGTGGGAGTGATCAATGCTTGCCGCCACGCTATGAACATTTCTGTAATTGCTTTACAGTTATCGTATTCATTTACTTTCCGTTCTGTGCCGTTTTCATGTGCAAATCTGGAGCACTTCATGGTGCCTAAAAATATGTTGGATAACAAAACCAGAACTGACCTTTAAGATTATTATTATACAGTATTTATATAGCGCCAACCAGTGGCAGAACTACCAGGGTCGCAGAGGTCGCGGCCGCTACCGGGCCCTGGAGTTCCTCCACTTGGAGGGGGCCCAGGACAGGAGGAAGGGGCCCCTGGTGACCGCTGATTACCAGGATATTTATTATCCCGGTAACCGCTAATGTCAGTCCCGGGACCTCTTCCTCCTGTCCTGGGCCCTACATGCTTCACGCTGCTCACCTTGTTCCGGGCGCAGCGTGAAGCATCATCCAGCCGGGCAGCAGCCAATGAGTGGGAGCGGTGTAATCCCTGCCCCCTCATCACACAGAACTGCTGCCCGGTGCCGAATAGAGCTGCTGCGGACACGAAGGGGGAGACAGGGAGCTGGAAGCATGAAGGAAGGTGACACGGGGTCCGGGAGCGGAAAGCTGGGGACATGAAGGGGGAGATAATGGGGAGCTGGGGACATGAAGGGGGAGATAATGGGGAGCTGGGGACATGAAGGGGGAGATAATGGGGAGCTGGGGACATGAAGGGGGAGATAATGGTGAGCTGGGGACATGAAGGGGGAGATAATGGGGAGCTGAGGACATGAAAGAGGAGAGTGTTTTTTGTTTTTTTTCCTTGTCTAAATTTTGTTTAAAAATAAATAAATATATAATTTGTTTCTTCTTGGGCGGGGGGGGGCCTTCATGGATTCTTGCATCGGGGGCCTGAGGTCACTAGTTACGCCACTGGCGCCAACAGTTTGCGCAGCACTGTACAATATAAGGACAGGACATTACAATCACAATACAATTCAAGACAAGATGGTAAGGAGGGCCCGGCCCCTGAGGGCTTACAATCTAAGAGGGAGGGGCCAGTGATACATGAGGAGGGAGCTGTGTGCGGGATGAGTTGTCTGAGAATGTGATGGTTGAGTGGTTAGGTTGAGGTGGGATCGGCTTCCCTGAAGAGATGATGGGTGGATCTGTACTGATGCTGCACGGTCTTGTCCTGCCCATGTACGTCTTTACCTCTTGATGGACAGCATATGTCCCACTTATACTCATCATTGCCACGCTACCCTGATGCTCCTTCCTCCATCAGAGCCGAGCAGAACCCTGTGTAACCTCTGTATCAGAGGAGTCTGTAATATGGTTCAGTTCTGCAGCCTGCTTATCCCGCTGTACTGGAGATGTTTACAGTAGGGATGTCCCGATACCACTTTTTTAAGACCAAGAACAAGTACTGTCCCTTGTGTATTTGCCGATACCAATTACCGATACTTTTTCTTAAAGGGACATGTGACATTTATTTCTAAAACAACACAGACTGATGATTTTAGAGCAGTTTCTCACCGGGGCTAAATACAGACGTCAACAGAACTGAATACATGTCCCCAAAGCCGAACATATGTCCCTAAGCACGAATAGTATTCTGCTTTGGGGACATGTATTCTGCTTTGGGAACATGTGTTCTGCGAATACATGTCCCCAATGCAGAATTCCTCTCACCAGGCTGCGTGTCGATCTCACCGGGCGTCGTGGACATCTGCAGTGGCTCTGCGGGCACACCACCTCACCGGCGATGTCGGGACCTGGCCTCCCCCACGTCCAGACCAGCGATGGTGCCATGTCCAGTCCGGCCGCACCGGCCCAGTCCTCCCCGTCAGTGTGCGGCAGGAACCCCCAGCTTCTAGCCCTGGGGCAGTAGTTCCGTCCCCGGGGCTGTCCATGGATGTGCCTGCGCCTGGAAGGAGGAGGAGGAGATAAAGAACCGGACAGGCACTGCCATGGACAGCTATGTGCAGGTCCCCAGCAGGCTGCTGAGGTCCCCACAAGCGCGGGAACTCAGACGGCCGCTGCTGTTTGAAAATTTAAAGGGCCGGTATCCAGGATATTTCCATATCACCGCTGCCCTTGTCGGAGGACCTCTCTCATGTATCATACATACAATATGTGCAATTCCGTGAGAACGTGTTTTTATTTATATATATATATTGTCAGGAAGTGCCCATGTCTGTAAATGTTGCTTTATTATTTGATTTGATTTATTGTACATTATTTGCATCTTATAAACCATACAATCACGTTTCCATTGTTGGACTCTTCTTTTTACATAGTTGGCGTTAAGACTCCGAACCTTTGACCAAGGAACATTTCATTTGGTGTGCCGGTCTTCAGATCTAGATAGGCAGAGCCGGCTGTCATTCACGCAGCTGGGTGGATCCAGACAGTATTGTCGGGATCCGTCCCGGCTGCGGCGCTCTCAGTATATGGCGGGCAATAGCCTGCAATATACTGAGCTTTGGGTCACGGGAGGGGGTTAGTATGTGTCCTCCTTTGACCCTAAAGAGAACTAGGGGGAAAAACACATATCCCGTAGTTCTCTTTTAAGCCACTGGCCCATAGGAATGAAGGGTACCATGCACTGTCACTGCACTTGTATAAATGGGGCATAAAGTTTATCATAACCTTGCAACTTCCATGTCACTGAAAGCTCTTAGTATACCGGCGGGGGCTGTCTGTACCCATCCGAGCATGCAGTTTGAAGGAATGCTTTTGTGCCCGGAGTTCAGCTTTAAAGTAGATATAAACCCAATCACTAAAATCTCATAGAAGAAATAATCCCTGGCCATCCTGCCATAAAGGTCTTTGATCGGGCACTTCCTTTTATAGGGTGACAACGATCTGTCACCCTGTCTACCATTTGTAGACACTTGATATGTAAACAGTGCTTATCAGATCCTGCTTAAAAAATAAATAATACACACAGGGGCGTCCCGAGGCTGGGTGACACCCGGAGCAGTTACCGGGTGTCACCCCACACTGTGACGCCACTGAACACACATGAGTTATGTCATTTCACAGCCTGGGGGTTCTTTCTGACCCAAGGACGGCACCTTCTCAGAGCTCCGTCACATCATTTTGCCGAGTTCTGATGGAATGGAGCGTTCTCTTGGAATGTGGGAGTTTTGGCGGTTGGTAAAGCGCTGAATGAGGTTACAGTAAAGAGATCCCTTGGCCCAAACACCGACCGCCACTTCCCACAACCCCCTTATCTCTCTCTGACATCACAGCTACAAGAAGCCGCCACAAGCAAATGAACAACATGCACAACGGATGGAAAACATTCGAGACTCGGCCATGGCGGCGGATGGAGGAGGAGGATCGGCATCACTAGGCTTACACTGAAACATGGAGGCCGGAATTACATTAAAGGAAAACTCTATTTCCCAAATGTTCTTCTTACACTTCTGAGAGTCACTTGACTGACAGCTTTTGGTCTAATAATAATAATACTGCCATGAAATAATATTGGCAGGAAAATGGTATCTGTTCAATCAGTATATAAAATAACATGGGCTGTACACACAGGGAGGGGTACACAATGGGAGAGTGGTACTCAATCGGAGGGTGGTACCCAATGGGAGTACTGTACACTATGGGAGGGTGGTACACTATGGGAGTACTGTACACAATGGGAGAGTGGTACCCAATGGGAGTACTGTACACTATGGGAGGGTGGTACACTACGGGAGGGTGGTACCCAATGGGAGGACTGTACACAATGGGAGGGTGGTACCCAATGGGAGGACTGTACAGTATGGGAGGGTGGTACACTATGGGAGGGTGGTGCTCAATGGGAGTACTGTACACTATGGGAGGGTGATACACTATGGGATGGTGGTACCCAATGGGAGTACTGTACACAATGGTAGAGTGGTACCCAATGGGAGTACTGTACACTATGGGAGGGTGGTACACTATGGGAGGGTGGTACCCAATGGGAGGACTGTACACTATGGGCGGGTGATACCCAATGGGAGGACTGTACACTATGGGCGGGTGATACCCAATGGGAGGACTGTACACTATGGGAGGGTGGTACTCAATGGGAGGACTGTACACTATGGGAGGGTGGTACTCAATGGGAGTACTGTATACTATGGGAGGGTGGTACACTATGGGAGGGTGGAACCCAATGGGAGGACTGTACACTATGGGCGGGTGATACCCAATGGGAGTATTGTACACTATGGGCGGGTGGTTCTCAATGGGAGTACTGTACACACAGGGAGGGCGGTACACAATAGGTGTACTGTACACTATGAGCGGGTGGTATCTATTGGAAGGGCTGTGCATAATGGGAGAGTGGTACCCAATGGGAGTACTGTACACTTTGGGCCAATGGTACTCAGTGGGAGGACTGTGGGAGGACTGTACACATTGGGAGGAAGGTAAAAACTAGGAGGGCTGTACACACTGAGAGGGCAGTTCACAGTGGTAGGGCTGTACACACTGGGAGGAAGGTACACACTGGGAGGGTTGTGCACAGTGGTAAGGCCGGACACACTGGGAGGGCCGGACACACTGGGAGGAAGGTACACACTGGGAGGGTTGTGCACAGTGGTAAGGCCGGACACACTGGGAGGGCCGGACACACTGGGAGGAAGGTACACAGTCACAGTGGCTGCCTTCAGTGATCTTTTCCAAATGCCGTTTGCCTGGCTCTCTCTGACTTCAGTTCTTTCTGTCCCAGCAAGTGAACAGTGCAGTGACTGAAGCCAGGGGATGACCATATCAGGCCAATAGCTCCCTCATGACAGGCGTCCGTTCTTGTACAGTAGAACATACGACGTCTC